ATAACCAAGAACAATTATCGGTTGTCAATACGTATGTCAATAGTTACAATTACTTTAAAAATAGATTTGAAATGCGAACTAGATCTAAAAGCTCTCTGATTGATAATAAAAGTTTTCTATCTACATTATTAACGACTTCTTTCTCTCTCTCTATTTTTCTTTGCTGAATTATTATTTAACTAGACTTTAAATACTTTATCAGAGAAAGAGGAAGCAAAATGATTCAAAGACAGTAGATTTTTGCGATTTAAAAAAAAAATATATATATATATATATATATCCGTTATAATATGTATATATTACATAATCTAAATTAATAAAAAAATAATTTTATTTTACAACAATCCTATTCTTGCTACATAATTTATTTTATATTCATATTATGTAATAACAACTTATATATATATATACGTCAATATTAAAAATTTTGCTAAAACACGCCGGACTCCAGCTGTAAAGTCGCAGTAAAATATTTCTACGGTTTTATTCTCGGCAAACCAGTAATCTTTGCGAGCGGCGACGCCCTACGACGTCGCGCGCGTATTTTGATGAATTTATTCTATCCAATTAATACGCACATAATTAAAGATGAATTCTCGTTCTATATAAACATACAATATTATTTATAATTTTTAAATATGTAAATAAATGATTTATTAGAAACTATCTAATTAAAAATATTATTTTAACTTTGAAATACTGTTAAAATAATTCCATTAAATTGCATTGTAATAGTTGCGTACGATCATCATACCAGCTGGAGATTAATGACATGATCTGTAGAACAGCATTTGCTGGAGAGTCAAACGGCAAACATTTTGTAAACTCATTTTCCTATTCTCGCACACTTTTTTATGACACATGCAAACGTGCTAATATAATTTTGCTCGTTATCCTTGATTATCTCGTACAACAAATACAATAATAACTGCTTGAAGCTGCTGTATATATTGATAATTTTAGTGCACAAACTGTGATTAACATTTCCATGCTTTTTTAATGAGATTGACTTGTATATTTCTTCTCCCAGAAATAGTGCGTGGATATAAATTGCTTACAATAGCATCAGAATTAAATTTTCGTTCGTATCATAAATTAAAAATATCTTTTTATGATACGCGAGACAACGATATTAGAAACTTTATTGCTGTAGACTTTTAATATTTGTAAATACAATGATAGTATATTTTTTCCGCACTTTCCGAGCGTCGTTACACTTTTCCGGTGTACGAGCTTGACGAGTAATGGATCGCCAAAGCAGTAGAGGTGTTGTGATAGGGGTTGAAAAAATATGGACCGAGGTCGCGGAAAATGAGCCCAAAACTTTTACGGCAGATGCAAAGCAGCGCAGCTTATCGCGTGAATGTTTGTATGGTGATCTATCCTCCAGGAAGTCAGAACCTCCACCCCGCTTGGCCTACATACTGAGAGTTATGGCCGCAGCCGTGTCATACAACCGCACCAAGTCTCCGTGAGGCGTATAAGGAAATAGGAGCATTGCCTCCGCCAAACATTATAACGTGCACGCGGCTAGCAGTACGAAACAAGTATCGCTTTTGCACGGAGCGAAAATATTACGTGGCAACTGTAACATTCGATTTCCGTTCGTCTGCAATGAAAACATTGAGATAGGAAATAAAATGCTATATATATGTATATTAATAACGGAACAGCTCTATTCGAAAATATCGCAATAGTTTTTTTATAGGATATGTATCAGGCGAAAAGAAGAATATATGTATATACATATATATCTGTTGTAGGAATGTAAATATTTTCGGTTTTAATCGCGATAATTTCTAACGCGTGCTTTTATTACAATATTTTGGCTACTTCGAGAAAATAAATATTCGCTATATGAATCTTGCTAAGTACATGTTTAACATTTATTAGCAATGCTCAGCTTAAAATATCGCCGTTATGCTAAATACCTATGGAAAGTATATAGTCGTTTCTCACGAGACAGTATGCGACAACCTTAATCCACATGCGAGCTTATTATGTACGTACAACCATAACGATGAGATATGTCATTTGGATTGCGCGAATGTATTCAACAATTTGCGTTCTTGTTGAATGATGGCTATACATATCGACTTAGCAGTCAAAGAATGACACCAACACTATTGTATATTACGAGAATTTATATATTCGCACTGAAAGAAATGTTATATAAAATTCAAACACATTTGCATACACGAGAAAATCAAAAATCAAAAAACAAGAATTTTTGAATTGAAAGTGTACAATGTAGCGATCATATAACTGGGACAGTTTTTATTAAATAATAACTTGACAAGTATAACAATTATTAATAATATTTAAAAAATAAAGAAATTGACTATAGAATTAAATGACATATATAAATCAAGTGAAAAGATATGATCATTATTTAATAAAAAATATATTTGTATAACCAACCTACAAATATCTATGTAGATATAATGTAACTTCCTAATCGGTGTGAAAATAACGACCATGTGCGAAGCATGTAATTTTAAGGAGAAATGAAGACATGCGTTTATAATTCGTTGCTGGTAGGCAACGAGCGAGTGAACGAGATAACGAGACTCATTGTCTCATTAACAGTCGTACCTGTTTTCAAAGAAAATCTTCGCTCGTGTTTTCTCATTCTATATATACGATCTTGTGTCACGTCAGGGATGGCAAATGAATCTCCTCTCCGTACGCGGCGAGCGACGTTTATAATTTTAGTTAGTCGTCGACAATTAGCGTAATTTCGGTATTTAAAAGACACATTATTTTTTCACGACACGTTCATTTTATCACGTGTTTCTCGTCGCTGGCGTGCGTAACATGGCTATTGTGTACAAGCACGGTCACCTTAATCGATAAGCCGGGATATTAGCGATATTAGCGCACCTCTCTCTTTTTCCCCTCGCGAAGGGGCCACTCATCTCTCCCTTCTTCTATATAACCGTAGCAGTCTTATAAAATTTATGATAATTTCCGGTTACACGGTGGCCTTTTCGTTCTCGGCTCTCAGTGGGCCACGGTTGCATAATTTTTCATCGCTATGGCGTCGCGCTAATGTGCGTAGTAATTCTTCGACTTTACTGGTACGCGAATAATGTCACGATGTAACGCTGAGAAACTGATGTTATGCCATACGTATTATGAGTTTAAACTAATATTAAGCCGGCATATTACACATGTACAGTATACTTCGTACTTTTTGCTAATTAAAATCGGCTTAACGAAGAGTGTAGTTAAAAGATTATACATGTGAAGCGGATAACATTATTGTTCACACTAAAAAGCTGAAGTAAATTGCAAAAGGCATGAAATTTTTGATAATATTGATAATGTAAATATGTAAAATAATTTGTAAATGAATATATAAGTACAAAAATACAGCACAAGGAGAGAGATTATACAAACTATTATCCACTTTAACAGAGTAGATAACCGTTAGCCATCCCGCGCGGGATCGCGTTTAAGAACGGTATCACGTATCACGTTCCGTAACTACCTGGTATACTACATATAAACATATGCCTGAGGGGGAGGGGATGAGAATAGCCAGATAGGCGTGCCAAATAACGTACTTATCTGAACCATGCACTTTTCAGTGACAAGGGGATATGATTTATTGCCTACAAGCTTGCTACAATGACTCCGGTACGTGTTAAACTGACCACGTTCATCATTAAAATTAATGGGTATTGGATACTGCCCGCGGTAAGCGAAAGGAGAGGCAGAACGACTGAAAGCGTCGGAGAGTTCGGTAGCCGAGAAAAGCGTTGTTATTGTTGCAGTCTGATATTTTGCAATATTTCGTGATAACAATTGTCGGAGAAACGAAATATCGATTTTTTTTTTTAATAACAAATGGGTTCAGAGTACTAGCGATACTACGTGAGGAAACTTTATTGTTGTTTAATTTCATATTAACAAGTATGCATTAAATATGTACGTTTCGGACATAACATATTGCGCATGTTAAATTTTAAATACAAATTTAATTTTTTCATATTTTTATCTGTGCTGAGAAGCTTGACTAAAAAACTGTTCAAAACGTGTCGATTTTCTTCGCGCATTTTTTAATTTTTATTAATAAATAGTTAAAGTTTTTAAATATTAATCTCAGACGTAAAATAAAATTATCCGTACTTGTTAATTTAATATACAGGAAATGTTCTATCATGTACAATCTGCGTGTTTCATCTCGAAAACTGTAATTTTACAAATCTATGCAATCAACACGCTCTCTTCAGGGTGACGATGTCCAGCGCATGCAGTAGTTATACGTGCATTTTCACGTGTTCTGTAATTGTTCTGGGGTGTCTATTGTGCGGATGAGTGTTAAGTCTGCAGTCCGGCATTCCCATTAAAATTAATGGGGTTTGGGATAACGGGGATAGTCAGGCATGATACCAAACGCGAAGTAAAGTGATGCATCATTCACAAAGAAACAATGTGAATAATTCGATAATCGCATTATAATAATTCATACGTTACAATATACGCATTATTGTTAAAGCGATCATTATAATATTCCGATTAGAATGTTAATGCACGCTTGGTATTCATAGTATTCAGCATTAAATTTAATCAATCATTTTTCGATATCGCGACACATATAGCTATACTTGCTCGATATCAAATTCGGATCGACATATTGTGTTCTTAAACACCTATTTAGACGCTTACTAGTGCTCTGTATGTGCTTCGGGTACTTATTTTTAGTAGTATTTGTATTCGTAATGTATTTTGAAGTACCGCGATAACTGTTATCGCTGGTTAGATGCATACGCAGTAATCTCTTACGATCAATTCTACTTTATGGAAATAAATTGTATTATAGTAATCGATCCGATTTACAGTCAAAAGCGAGATTAACGGCATTGCATTCTATCAATCTGCCCGTTTATACACTTATAATGCTCTTATTACGGTACACACGGCACGGAATCACATTACCTATTGGCAGCGTGGTAGAATATAATCGTATAAAGATTTCATTATTCTTTTTACAGGAGATGTCGACGAGAGGAGAATGCGAGCGAACGCGCAGACTCGCCGAGCAAACCGCCTCAATCGTCTATCATCGACGGCCTTTGCGGAAAACGATAGATCGCGTTATCGTTAATGACATTTCGCGGCCAGTTTTCGCGGCCAACCTTTCGCGGCCGTCGACGAGGAATACGAGGGTCGGCGGCGAGACAAGAAGGCAGGTCAGGCAAATCGATCTGTCGGCGACACGTAACGCACAGCTAAGTAACGTGTTAAAACCCCGCGAGCGTCCCGACTATGCTTTCAGCATATTTGCATAGGATTCTCCTCTCTCTCCTGTGGCACGGCAGCTACCTATCCATGGTACGCGAGCAGCAGCACCCGCCGAACGTTTACGTAGCTACGCAAAATGACAGCGCTTCCATTACGCATACCCAGAATGGCCGGGATACTTAGCGATCGGTATTCCGATTACGCCTATGCACGTCGGAGCGCATCTTCGAATCGCGTCCGGCCGCGATCACTGCATGTAGAACGAGCCTGGCGATCCTTAAAGCGATGGAGATCAGACCTCTCCGCACGTCGACTTATGACATGTATGTGACACGAATGCTAATCATCGATCTGATGTCACAATCAGAAAAATATTTATTTCAGTACCGATTTTTGTATTGCGCGTATGTCTGTGTGTATATATATTCCTTGCGGTAGAATGGAAGCAATATTGTGCAATATTATTGCGATCATTCTTGATAAAAATATCGTTTTATATTACGCTGCGTTCGCGCGCGATGTAAGATTAAAAAATTATTGTCAAAGATTATCGATGACAGAGAAAACAAATTCGCTTTGTAGTTCCTTATTCCTTGTAGCTTATTCTCAGTTTGGAAAACAATTCATGAAGTAATATCGTGTGTTGGAGCAAAAAATGTTTGATCAAAGACATAAAAAGTTTCATTAAAACTTCTTTGATCGCTGAAACAAGTAAAAAAAAAAGTATGCTGCCAATTATGCACTCCAGTTACGCAATGACCTACTGATTATTAAGATTAAAATGCTGTAATTACGCAACAGAAGTAATAAATTGATTTTATGCGAGAATACTACCACACACAAACACATAGATTATACAACTAGTTCTTTTAATTATGTTTTATATAACGTTTTATTCACGCTTATAAAAATATATAAAAATCTGAAAATCTTATCTTTTTTAAAAATGAGGATATATAAAGCGAATTAAAAGAAGAAAGAGGCGCGTATAGAGTCGCGTATATTGTAATAGTCTACGTCGTAGCTTCACATAATACGGAAGGCATTCGTACATATCCAACAAGAGTTGGATTCTAAAGTACGAAAAGTTCCCGAGTTTTCTTGCATTTTCATTACGTACCATCTGGGAGCAAGGCGGAAAGGTCTCCAAAGGGGAGTCACGGTAACACCAGAAGCACAAGCGCCTCAGGTTCTATCTCCGCAGCGCGTAATTCGAGACCCTGCTCGCCGTTCGATTATAATTTCATTTGCACGGAAACTCGCACGATTAATGTGGCGGTGCCGACCTATTCCCTCTAATTAAATCCTGTGTACCAACCGAGGTATGTTTCGTCCAATTTTAAAATCGGTCGTAGGGATCGTCGATCGGGCGGCGAGAATATCGAACATATATGTAGACTCACTCACCTCAGTTCGATGCCTTGGGTGCGCTTGTCATTTATGCTAACGATCACGTCGCGTGGCTGTATCTTCTTATCACCGCTGCACTTGGGGGTAGTCACTTTGCCGCGCGAGTGTACGTCAGACACGAACGACTACGTAAGTCCGCACATGTACACCTTGCCTGACGATAATGTAGTAACACCCGGTGATGATGAGATCAACGTCTATCTCTCTTTCTGTCTCTCTACTCACGCGGTTCAATTCGCGGCAACGTGAGAGTTCCGCTCGGAGCACCAACGAGCGTACATATGAACGAGCTCGGGGTTTAAGTCAGTCACCTAGCGTCGCAGTCTTCGTCGCACACTGCTGCACTGTCACGGTGCCCGCTGCTTTTCTACCCCGTCGTTTTAACGAATCCACGGCGATTTTAATCTCTCAATTTCTCGCGAGCGCGCACACTAGTGTGACTACCACGACGCGATAAAGTCGAAAACACGAAATTTGCGAACTCTCGAAACGAATTTACGTAAATTCAGAACACAACGATCCGCGAAACGTCACACGAGTTGACGCGAGAGCATCAGTCTAATGTCTCTATAATTCACGAACGAACGACACGCCGAGATGTTTAAATAATTTAAAGTGGAGATTCTGCCGTAGTTTTTTTAGGCGCGTTTTTATCACGGTCGTCGATCAACGATCACTCGGCTTCGCCAAATTGTTTTTTCACATTCGCAGAACGCAGGACATCGCTCGAATGACGCGAGGGATCGAGCAAGCGTCCGGCGTTCCAGCTGATCCACGTCGATCGAAAGGAGAAAGAGATAGGAGTACGTGGGATAGAGCTACGAGTCGCGACAACGTGCGTGTTTACCCGCGCGACGACGTAAACACTCCGCACGAAAGCACTCGACTGCTCGGCAGGGGTGGCTGAGCGGCACAGTTCAGTTGCTCGCGCAGTAGCTTGGTAACGCGGCGCAACAGTGCGCAAGTTGTGCTTTTGTGCGGCGAATGCGGACTCCGGTATGGGGGCTAGCACCTATGATCTCTCTCTCTCTCTCTCTCTCTCTCTCTCTCTCTATCTCTCAATCTCCCCTTTCTCTCCCCCTCTGCACTTTTCGTGCTTTCCGCCCTTCTGTCTTCTTTTTTTTTTTTTTATTTCTTCTTCCTTTCCTTTGTATGCCACCGTTTTCACCCCTTTTCGCTCTCTAGCCGCGTTTTCTTTCCCTCGCTTTTCTATTCTCCCACCGATTCTCTCTTACACCTCTCCTCCTCTCCGTCTCACCAACTGACTCACTGACTGTCGTCCGTCTGTCTACCTGCGCCGCGGAAGA